AAGAGTAAGATGTAATATACTCATTCCATTTTGTCTTATTTTCAAGACTTAAGATTAAAAATATGCTTATTAACAAGAAAACATGCTTGGGATTTTCCTGGCTGCTCCTTCTTTTTACATGTCAAATATGCACAGAGCTCTCAAGTCCTCCCCAGGTCTTTGCCCTGGGCTGAAGGTCAGCACACGTGCCTTTTTATGCAGAAAAAGAGTTCAGTCTGTTAGTGTCCCCATAAGACCTTTCACACACAGCAATTTCACTAAAATAAATATAACTACTTCTCCAGTTCAAACTTTAGCAGATAATGTCCAAATAAATCTGGCCCATATTTGAAAGTTGACTCTGAGTCAGAAAAATTCTTGATAAAAAAATGGAAGTGCACCAAGGGTTATTAAACCAAGACTAAATCTCTGACCTGAATCACAGGTGCACATCTCAAGAAGTCACTCACCTGGCACTTGCCAGCAGAAAGGAGCATGACAGGGAAAGCACCTCTGTATGCCTGCTCAGTTTCTGTACCAGCCTCCAAGTCTACTGCTGGCCAGTGAGGAGGGAGAGCTCTGGACTGACTCAGTATGGATGTCTGAATGTTTCTCATTCAAGGGTAAACACAGAGCTTATTTAGAGGCACCATTTCCTCTTTGTGTTAGTGCCTGGCCTGTAAGCCCACTCTAACAGTCATTTATATTGGGCCACCATGTGAATGAGAGACAGCAACTTGTATTTGCTTTTCATACATGCTAACAACCACACAAGATAGTTAGCAGAGAACCAAATCAGGGGTTCTCAAGCTCCCAAAGCTGCCATAAGCAAACCTGTGGTTAGTCTAAGTTGTGATGCTTCTGAAGCCTTCAGAAGGCTGTTGCACAATTCAGCTACATCAAAAAGTTTTATTAGATACTTCTGCTACCACTCAAGCTTTCCCCAATCCAAAAACAATAGTGATGACTCATACCCTTTAAAAAATATTGCTGCCTCTTCTCCCTTACTGAGATGCGAGGTGCCATCTCGAGAGCAGAACACCACCCTGTGGAATAAATATCAGACAGTCACATGACAGGGCCAGATGTCTTTTTAACCATGGGAACAGAACTGGTGCTTAGAAGCAGTCTTTACATGTTGTTGTGTGGTGCACAATTACTTAGCAAGCCTATGATAAAAATCACTTTTTAAAAAAGAATTCTGTGACAAAGGAAACACTGCAAAAAGAACTGGTGGATGCACTATGCATGAACCTCAAACTGTAGCCAGAACTTTTCCTGGTCCTTTCCATAAAGCCTTGTGGCTAAGAAAGCAGAAGCTCTATCTCAAAGTCTCCTGGATCTTCATTTACATTACTCCTTGTGTAAATTTTTTGTCAGGTGAATGATCCTGGAAGAAAGCCTTACTGCCTCAAATGTGTGCAAACAAAATAGGTTGCCAAACCTGAGTAGCTGCTTTTCTATTTATCAGTACTTTCCCCAGCCCTATATTTGTTCAGCTCTGATAACTGTCCTTTGATAAAGTGACTGCCTTGTTTATTCAGAGGACGAAGGTATTTACCACACTGCACACGACACACATACTCTGTTCTGGGTCCTCTTTTCTGCTAACAGATCCCATATCTAGTGAATTAGTATTTCAAAAGATTCAGACCAAAGCAGTTCTGTTTAGACTTCACCCTTCCCACCACCATGCATTAGCAACATCCTCCAACAGCCATGTGTTTCACTCACCTTTCAGCTGCTCCTAACTTTTAAGAAAATACATCTTCAAGAAATTATTTGTTGTGTAAATGCATTTTTGGAGAGATAGCCTTCTAAGCATGCTCTTCACACAAAAGTCTGTGAAAGCATCCAGCAAAAGAAAGGAGGAGAGGAACTGCAAGTATTATCAGAGATGCTGGCTCATGGAGATCCCTTCTTGCATATAATAACTAATCTGAGGTACCTGGGGCAGTGGCACACAAATTATATATATAGGAGTAAAACTGCAAATTGTAGAACTCAGCTGGAGCAAATAAATGAACCCAGCTGATATAAAAGCTGGTTTGGTGCCACTGGAGCCCAGATTATCAGTGCTGCACCCATTTAACTGCTTTTCTTCATGATACCAGGAATCCGGAAACACTGTCAATTTAAACTAATACAGTTTATAACAATCAAAACAAGTTACTTTTTCTGAGTTTCTCCTGACTTCACTCTGACTCTCTGGATGTCAAAGGTAAAAGGAGTCCACCAGTCTGACCAGCTGAAGAAAGTATCTTTCTCCCACTGCAGCTTCAGCATAAGCAGGTCACCAATGTCCACTTCTGTATAAATCAGGAAGGAGAAGGTCTTGTTTGTGGAGACTTCAGGCCTGTGGGGGTAGGGGAGTAACAAAAAAAGGACATCAGAAAAAAAAAAAAGAACTTTTGTACAGAAAGAAAATTAAGAGGAAACACAGAACCAGGACTTCATGTACTTCAGGGAGTAAGGAAGCAACTTTATCCATAGCTCTGACAGATGGAATAGGAGAAAAATACCTTAAACTTTTGTAGAGGCACAAGGAAAAGCTTTCTGCAGGAAGGCTGGTAAAAGCCTTAGACAGAATACCAGGCAACAGGTGTCTTCTCCAGTGCTGACAGCTCTCAGAGAAGCCAGACAAGCACCAGCAAGGAACAGTTTAGGATCTTCAGAGCAGAAAAAACTGTGTGCTCTCCAGTCCCATTCCCTGTCAGCCCAGGTGCACAGATGTAAGCACAGACTCATGCTTATTTGCAGAGCTGTGGAAGCAAATGCTATGTTTCACCACAGCCTTCAGGTCCAATAGATAGTTAACTCCAGGTTGCAGTCTGCTTTTAAGGAGCTTTAACACAGCATAAAAATACTGAACAGAGAAGAAAACAAGCAACCTGCCACACCAGAAAAATTCTTATTAGGCTGAGCCATAGGCCAGACTTCATATTGCCAGATTGCAGATCTCTTACCAAGATCTCCTATAGAGCTTGGATCATTAGCTTCTGCAGAGGATGTTTTCCCTTGATCAAGGACAAGGGCAGATTCTAGGAATCTTAAAGATTTCTGGAGTTGGAACAAGTTTCTCAGCTAGGGCTTTTACAGATTTAGACTCAGTATGCTTCAGTTGTTTCTGTAGCTACTCACAGTGTGAATGCAATGTTCTCACTCTCATCTAGAGTGCCATAGAGGGAAATGAGGAATGGCTGGTTTGTCTTGGTCGTAATAGTGTTTCCAAAGAAATGGATCTTGACCTGGTAATGAAAGACTGAAAGAACACAAAAGAAAAGGCTGTTAGAAAAGAAAACTCAGCTTCGAAAGAGGCTTTTGGTGACAAAAATCACTCAAAACCCCCCATGCAAATCTCAAGCTGAAAAATGCCAGTATCACTAGCCTGATGAGTTTAGTTCCCTGCAGGTAACCAAGGAACTACTTCTGTAAGGAGGTAAAGGTTAGGAAGCAAGGGAGTCAAGATTAAAAAACACCTTTGCAGTTTTTGCAACTAAACTGCATTTAAGTTGGCTGGAACTGTAGTAACTCTGGCATCTGCAGTATTGCCTTAAAACCTCATATTAGATGTGCAAGACTTGCCATCCGTGACTTGAAACAAGTGAGCTGTGCCATCTTCTTACAGGAGCCTTGGTGAAAAAAAAATTAAACCCACTGACACTGCAGATTAAGCACTGAACACCAACAGAACACTGGTCTTGCAGCTGTCCTAACACTGCAGGAATGTGCCCTCTCCTTGCTGGCCCAGCACATGAGACAGACAATGAGCATACCTTGTGGCACAGTCAAAGCAAGGGAGGGAAAAAAAAAAACAAACCAGCAAAACCCAACTCAGAAGCTATTTTCCCAGCTGAAAGCCTTCTATTTCCTTCTGGCAATGTCTTCCTCAGACCTACTATAGCAATGGGAATCAAGATGAACTGTCCTATTTTAAATAGGGGCTTGTGCTCCCCTTGTGCAGGCAGAAGTTTGATGGTTGCACACCTTTAAAGAAGTTGCTCAACAGACTGAGCTCTGCTGATTATTTTCCCAGAAGTAGGAAAAAATCATTTGGATAAAAAATACTGGGAAAAAAAGAGGAAGATTCAGTTGTTCCAAGTGACCAGGCTGCATATTATCACAGAATCACAGAATGTTAGGGGCTGGAAAGGTCCTCTGGAGATCACCTAGTCCAACCCCAGTAAACCTCCTTTATTTTGCTACTTAGAAACTTGTTATAAAATATGTTCCTTTTTGTATTCTAGCCCTCACCTTGAATAAGATGAAACTTTGAGGCTGCACTTCAGCTTGCTCTTCATGGCAAACTGCAGGCACACACTTCACCCCTGCTCACCACAGGCACCAAAGCAGGAGCATTGTTATCTGCCGCACACACTCACCCTGACACACAGCTGAGCAGCAGTATCCATCTTGCTCACCAGTAAGCAAGCAGGACCTACCTTTATAGGGCATTTGAGCACGGGTCTTCAAGTACATTTTGGTGTTTCTCTTTGTTCTCACTCTGTTGACCTTGTAACCCAAATTGTTGCAGCGGTTCTTCCGGCAGCTCAGGCACAGACCCTTCTCAAAGGCTTCCTTTGTGTTGCAACGGTAGGCCATGCTGGGCTTCTCTTCATACAGGAGAGAGTCAATGAAGAGGTGGATGGATCGTTCATGGGAGCATTTCACCAACTGATCCACATCTTGAAAGAAAGGAAATGCATAATATGTATATACACATGCACATAACGATACACACCTCTAAGCAACGCTATCAACAGTATGATCCACTATGCCAGGGCTGGGCTTTATAGGGTGGCTTCTAAAAAGACTTAAAAACAAGTTTCTGTGCTTCTTGAAGAGATCTTTGCTTGCAGGAAAGCTGCAGGCTATTGAAGGTCTCCCTGCTGATGTCATGCAGCTTGTTTCAGAGCAGCCTCACCTGCAAAGCCTTTCTCAGCAATCAGACGGAGTGCTTCTCCCAGGTTGCAGCCTGGCTGGAAACCTCCACCATTAGGATAAATATCAATGTGTCCAACAGGCTTCTGGATCCCAATGCTGCGGTCTGGAGAGCCTCTAGTATAGGTGTGTAGGACATCCACAAAGTCAGCATCATCCGGGGAGAGGCGGGTGGGGGCATCAGCATACTCAAAGGTAGGACCAGCTGGATCCAGCCCTTTATGGGTCATACCACAAAGAAAAAACAGATTATGGCCTGCCAAAGACACTGACAATGGTAACAAATGCCAAATTCTGCAAACACACCAGGCTGAAGTATTGCATATGGTGTTGGTGCCACTGCATACATTGTAGTGGGACCATTTAAGTAGCATTCACATACGCAGGAGAATCAAACACACCATGTTGAAACACTACAACTGTTTAAAATACCATTTGTATGTAAACATATGTTAAGAAGCCCAGATTACTTCCTTACAGCTGTAGCATTCCTAGTGGATGGAAGAAACAAGCTAGTAAAGATTTCTCAATGTCTTCCTCTCTTGTCAAGCAAGAGAGAAATGGTAAAATTTCAGTCTAAAGTGTGGAAAATGTCTTGCTGCTAACTCCATGCTAGGGCAACAAGTGGGAAACAAAGAAGAACTTCACTGTCTATAAGCCTAAGGGAAAGGGGATTATTATGGCAAGCTGCAAAGCTGCAGCAATAGTGACATAAAAAACACCCAGAACTATTCTGCCAGTGGACAAGCACTATCTCTTGAACCCAGACAAGTCCTCAAGAGGCTGAAGGCAGAACTTAAGGGATATGTCTTTTCTGCAGCACTCTGCTGGGGACAGACACCTGTGCTGCCCATCACTGGTTAGACTCATCTGGTCTGAGCTGCCTTCCCTCTGCTCTGTGGACTTCAGGGACCACATCCCATCACTCTGTGCTGAAAGGTGATGCTGTTTTCCCAGGGAAGGGTTCATTACAGGCACGAAGACCAATTGTGGGGCATAACAGAGGGGTAGTGTTTTTTGATTGATTTGGCAACCAGCCTCAGTGAAAGCAAAAGAGCTGCAGCAGGGATAACGAAAGGAAATAGGGACTGGTGCTTTGGCCTCCTATTTTCATCTGCCACCTCCCAGGAGTCAGCTTTTCTTGATGTGATTGCTACCTAGCCCACCTCACAGCATATCTGTGGATCTGGCACCACAGCCAGGTTTGGGTGAAAGGACAAAGAGTACCAGGAGGAAAGGAGCTAGGCTCCCATTTGAATGCCACTCCCAAGCGCTCTCAGCAGTGAAGACACCACAGATGAGTGATTTTCTTAGCCTTGTTGGTGTTAGAATTTCCTCTGTCACTGATCAGTGCTAAGGGCTCAGTTCTCCCTGTTCTGGGCAGCAAACCAGCCACTGAGTGGCCATGCACTCTGTCTTGTCTCACACATTTCTCAGTCTCCAAAGATCACCCTAAGCAAACATCTAAATATGCATGGGAAGCCTCTCCTTCCTGAAGCTCTTTCAGTATTATTTTCAGCCTAGAACATTACTTGAGCCTGTAAGGATTAAGTTTTTTTAGTAAACCACAGTAGACCTCTTCTGGTTACCAGTCAGTATAAAGCATAAACTTCTTGCGTCTGCAGCATCCCATAGCAAAGAGGTCCTACACCCACTGCAGGAAGCTCTACCTCCTATTATTTTTTTTAAACTGCTCATACCAGCTGCAAGACCATGTGGATGAAGGTAACCAGCTGAAGTTCTCATGCTGCAAGAGATACATGACCTTCTCCAAGCCATGGATTTGGCCAGTCTTGATGCTGCTGCCCCCAAACTAGTCTCTCTGCATGCCCAGGGAATCCCTGGCTGCTCACTCATTTCTTGCACAGAAGCAGATCAAAGCTTCTCCCCCACAACTTTTGCTGTTCTTTTCTGAACCTCTTCCAGTTCTACTACAGAAACATCAGCCCTGCTGATTCAATAAAGAATTAACACAACCCAAATATTGCCAACAAGCAACAATTATTCTGGTTATTTTCCAGAGGAATATATTTCAGCATAGAACAGGACTCTCCACTCTATAAACACAAGTTTTCTTACCAGTAATTCTGTTCACCTTCTTCTTGGTCAGGCTCCCAGCAACCCCAGCAGCATGAGCACCTAGACTGTAGCCCAGCAAGTGGACATTGTTGAGAGGATAATTGAATTGTTCCTGCAGAAGAGAGAAGTTTGTTTAAAGTCAAATAGGAAAACATCAGAAGACACGAAGAAAAATAAAAACACTGATATTTCTGAGCCATGAATATGAAGAAACACTAGATACAGTTAGCAATTTTGTACCACACCAGATTGCTTGAGTTAACTAAAAGGCAAAATTCTAAGCAGAGCAGAATGTATAAAGAAAGTCAGAACACAGGTCTGTGTATTACATCTGAGGTTTTCAGTCATCCCCTCCCCACCAGATTCCGGATGTCCTATGTTTCCCAAAGGCAGGACAGATTTCTGCTTCCCAAGGGCTAGCTGCTGTATAATACACAGCACTGTTTTTCATAGGTACCTCTCACAGAGCCTTCAGAAATCCTGTGGACCCACAGGGCTCCCCAGATCACAAGGTGAAATTTCTGGAATGTACTCTTAAAGGCCTCATTGTGCAAGAGATAACCACTACAGTAAAGCTGGGAATTTTGTCCAGCAAAAGTACTGTCTGCAAAAAGCTTAACTCCATCTACCCAACAGGAGATGATTAACACAGCTGCTCCATGGCTGTTCTGTCTCCCAGGACACTATGTACAACACGAGGCATGTGACTACATGTCTTACCTCCATCCAGTCAATAAACGTAGCAACATCCTTTCCCACCAGCTTGGTGTATGCAGCTGACACTGGGTAGTGCTGCTGAGCCCGAACTAGCCAGTCCACCACAATGACATTTGAATCAGGTTCTCTCTTGTACAGAGCATCCACCAGCTTCGGGACCCAGCTTTCATACATTCCTGTCACCTGTTGGGGTTGGGTTGTTGTGGGTTTTTTTCAATTAATAAAGGAGACATAAATATTGTGTGGTGTATAAACATCTCAGCTGACATATCCAGCAGTTTATCAAAGGTGTACTTAAAAGGGGGATTCCTCCCCTTTCCTCTTACCGTCCAGCCATGGATCACCACGAAGGTTTTGCTGGTATGGTTAAAGTTGCACCGTGCCAGGCTGTTCACCTGCCCAGGAACCAGGTAGCAGACATCCTCATCAGGCTCTGCAGGCGTCCGTAAGGAAAACTTGCTCTCAATTCCCTCAAAATTGGTTTCAGCTGTTTTTATGCAAGAGCACAGGAAACAGAGCAATGTTTTAGGAGTACTAGAACAAACAGTGCAGAAGTCACAGGTAGGATGTTGGATTGGTATCAAGAACAGTCAAGTGATGTGACAGGGGTTTTTTGTTTCCCACAACCCTCCTTTTGCACCACAACAGCCATGTGAAGGTGTCCTGGTTTGAGCTAGGATGAAGCCAGTTTTACTTTTTTTTTTCTTTCACTAAGGAAATCAAAGGGTCAAAATTGTTCCCCTTCAAGGTCCTCCTGAAACAGTGAAAACCTGGCCAGCTGTCAAAGAGGCATGAATTTCATCTAGGAGGCAGTACTCTGCCCATTCCATTATTACAGGAAACATCTAATTAATACAGCAGTGCAACAAACTGCACAGGACAGTTTTAGGCAGTGCATGCTAGAAAGCAGCAAGTTCCTCCCATACTACTACATTTTTTGATTGTGCATCTTCCATATTAATTCATCAATGATCACTACCTAACAAGGCTCTTTGTAGCACTCAGTAGTTGCACTCTGCAGTTGCAGTGCATTAAAAGTGAGAGCTACGAAGTCACCACTGTTTTATCAAATGCTAGTTTTAACTTTTTGCCAATAGAGAAAAACAGCAGGTGAGATCAGACAACCATTAAGGAAACTGAACTAGCAAAGCAGAAGCCTGTATTCTGAAGGCAGTATTTTTTCAGCTTATCAGATAAACCACACCATGTTAAAAATCCTCCTCTGCTGGAGCCTATTTTGAACCCAGGGAGGGCTGGCAGGGGGATATCATGCACTGGTGGTAATAAAGCATGTGATGGCCTGAAAAGATCACTTCTAAGTGATCTCCCTCCAGCTTTCAGCTTCAAAACAAAGTTTTTCTTTTGTTTCTGCCAAGGCAGAAAAGTGACTTTAGGCTTCATGCTCACTACTTTCTTTGTCTGGGAAGAAAATTAAAAGCCTCCTCTTTTTATGTCTGATTCAACACTTAAGAACCTCTATGTCCAGCAGACCCTCTAATTAACTGTGGACTTAACCTCCAATGCTTTTTGAAAACTGGGCCCTACTTTGGCAACTTAGTTTAGCAAACATTGCTTGCTTGTTTTCCAGCAGCAGCTGAACTCAGGCCAACTCCTTCCAGTCCAGTGTTACGTTTTCTGGCACCACTATCATTAAGCTTTCACAAACTCCTAAGCACACACTAATGAATGGATCCAAGCCACCATAGGGAACGTAAAGGGACATGGTGAGCACCTCATGCCAGACACACAAAAGAGTTTTCCAGTCCCTTTCTTTTCCCATTGCAGAAGTGGTTTTCTATGGTAACTGGTAGATTTGTAAAGTTGTATTTCTTCATAAAGTGCTGCATCACTCAGAAGTGATTTTGTTTCCCCCTAGAACTTCATTTATCTGGTCTTCTCGTTCCAGCTGCCACACTCAGCAAGGCACCGATTTATGCCTGACCTCACTCATCTGCCAGATAGAT